AGAAGGAACGTAGGTTGCCGTTACCACATAACTCTTTAATCGCGATAGCTCTATTTGTCCTTTTCGTCTTTCTAACTGCAGACTTCCATTCTTTCAGTGTTTTCAAGTATTCAGTGTAGTTGGCTGGATTGGCATATTTACTTATTTTTTTCCTTACAGCTTGGTATTTGCGAAAAAGTGTTGAGAGGGAAGACACAACGGTTTAGGTGAGAAGGACTCAATGTCAGCAAATTTGGTTCTAGCAGACACGATCACAGACTGAAAGGCACTTTGAATTGATGATAAATCTGAAGGAAGATCAACTTTAGACAGACGGTCCATAGGAAAGTTGCGTGAAATGAAGTTTTCTATTTTTTTAACGGAATTGTTACAACTGTGGAATAAAATGGGAGAGTGCTGACTTTTGCCAATGGAAACGTTGGACGTGTTCCAGTAGAGAGATAAAATAGTTGAATTCGAGAAAGTTAGATCCAAGACACTGCTCGCCGTGCGACCACTCCGGTTACAGTAAAAGGTAGTATTGCCGTTATTTAAGATACTGAAACTGCTGGAATTGATGGCATTTACAAGGATCTTGCCTTTGTTGGTCGAGGCTTGATTGCTATACAAGCAATGGTTTTCATTGAAATCTCCAGCTAGAATCACATTTTGTTCACCGTCAAGAAAGTCACATAATCTTTGAATCTTATCACGAAAGGTTTGCACATCGAGACTGGGTGGAAAGTAGCATGATGCTATGAAAAGATTCGGTTTCAGGTTCATGGTTTTGATGATGATAATGTCAACAGCAGAGTTATAGGGAATACGTCTGAACTTAACACCTTTCTTAACAAATATACTAACACCGCCATAGCCATCATTTCGGCATTTGGTGGCTGAGGCATAATTCGAAACTTTAACTTCAAAACAATTTTCATCTTTCAGAAAAACTTCAATTAAAATGCAGAAATCAACCTTGTTTGAGTTTAATTAAAAATCCATAAACGATACGTAACCTATCGTTTTTATCGTTTATCGTTTTTTAAAGCACTGCTTTAAAGTGGGTACAAAGTACTCAACCGGCAGATAACAACAATTAAATTTTATGGACTTAGGGAGAGCTCTCTCTTTGAAGCCAATTTTGATGGTGGTAGTGGGAATCCACTAATCTTTCTTGTTGGGATTTCTTCTTTGAAAACGGACAACGGACTTGATCGGAATATCGGATACGGCGTTTTTAATTATATCATCGACACTGTATGTGCACGGGATGTTTCAAATGACTCCAAATCTCTCAGTGAAGGACGCCTTTAAATTCTTTTTAGTAAATTCATTATTCGTAACAAAACTGTTGGCATTGGCAGCAGAGCTGAAAAAAAGGTTATTCTCATTCATCCTCGATCTCTTGGTGCGCCCAGTGGCATTCATATAAAAAGAGTTATAAGATCAGATCCAGTCTCCATAGGAAGACGGGCTAATGTTGTTTTGGTTCTTATCACGGGGAACAAAAGAAAAAATCACAACGAAAAAACAAAAAATTTAATATATATATTGCTTTTTAATTTTTCTCTCACGAGAGATTCCTCTTCCTTACCTCCTTTTCTTCCTTTAAAATTGTTTTCTTTGGTTATTTTCTTACTTTATTAAACCTCTTTTCCTTTTTCCAAATATATAAATTCTCTTTATTTTTTTCTAACACCGCTAAAACACAAAAATTATGCGGCTGCCGTTTGCAGAGATGACGTGTTGTATCAAGTGTGAATGAAATGCGAATGAGAAAAGAAACTTCAAACTATTAATAGTCAGACAATGACATGAAATTATGCACTTGGAGAAATATTTTCAAAAGAAAAAACACAGTAAGGTTTGTCTATAGTCTATCCCAGCAAATCTTAAGTAAGAGTGAAAAACACAAACCTATCATAAGGACAAAATTACTAGTGATACATTTTGGGAATAATTACTTATTTCAAACAGATTACGCAGTCAATCTAAATGACGAAATACTTAAATTTATAAATACTTATGAAATCACAGAGATTGTCGACAATCTAAAAAAAAATTAAAATGGCGCTATAACAAGAAACACACAGAATTTAAGATAAAGCCAACAGACTAGAACTCATAAGTGAATGTCAGAAACGGCTATATCTAAGACATTTAGTAGTAAACAAAACTTTCCAACGATTAATTTGAAAATACATATGGTAAAATGCGTTTGAAACGACTGAAGAATTTGTAAAACAATGCACGACATGTCAAACGTTTCAACTACCATAGTATAAAAAGAATCCTTAACATAAACAAATGCGCCCTTCACTAACTTCGATACAATATGCATAGATTCTCTAGATCTTCAGATAGCTGTTGATATATTTTTACAATACAATCTCAAATGATAACACATAAACTAGCCCATCCAACAGAAACCAAAAGCGTAACGGAAAAAAAAAATTTATGTATATATATTATATTTCTAGAATAAGTAGAAAAAATTCCTTCCATGAAAACGCACGAAATTTCAGAGAAAAAGAGAGCGACAGAACAGCTGCGTGCTGTGGGCGTCTGTTAGAGCAGTTAGAGTCCGCAAATCTAATGTTTTACTTCTGATTTGTAGAATATTGAACACACTAATATAAATTTTTGAATGGTGTAACATGTAATATTCGTTTTGTAGGATTTATTACAAATGCAACTCTGAAGCATTATAGCATGTAGGGTCGTTAAATTCAACGATGACCTTTAGTGACCATATGAAAAGTAAACAAAAGTTGGCGTTCCTGCAAAGAAAAAATATAAAAAAAGAGAAAAAAAGAAACAAAAATTTTCACAGAGTTGGTCACAGACCGCGAACATAGGAGTAAGTTGACCAGGGTTGATGAACATAACGAGAAGTGTCAGTAAAGGACATTATAAAAAGATATCAATGTTGATAGATTAACAAAACAAACAAAAAAAAAAGAAAGGAATTTTAATAATAAATGTTCTAAAAAGATTAGTCAATACAATTTAATATTAAGAGCATATTTCACAGAAAAGAAAGCAAATCTATTCGAATCGATCGTATATTTTGCAGCACTTCAGTTTGTTACTTATGTTCCTAAGTACATATTCAGCGAACAAGTTTCTTATTAACAAAAACGTTTATAAAACATAACAATTTTTCGAAAAATTCCTGTAAAAACAATTCTGAACATGTGCGTGTACTCAAAATCTTTGGTTGTTCTTCATAATATCCATTGGTTATCCTCGTTTTTAACCATATGTAATCATAATGTAACGTCGTGACTGTTATCATAATAATGATCATTGCTGCAATCTTTTCTTGTAAATAGTAAATCAAAATTTTATTGCTAAAACTAAATTTCAATATTGAAACATCGAGAACGGGCTTCTAGAATATTAGGCAGCAAAATTAAATGGATTGCAGGAATGTTTTAACTACGAAAAGATGGCTTACGAATGATAAGAACGTATACGTGAAAATAAATATTTGATGGGAAGTGTTCAGTAAATTTAGAGTAAATTGCAAAGCATGCTTTCTACCCACAAAAAAAAAAGAAAAGATATTTATAAACGTATAATTGAACACAATTCGAAAAAAGGAGAGTTCTTGGAATGCAATTTAGAATCTTGCTTGGGACGGCATTTCGATAATGTGAAGCAGCTATTAAACATGGAAAAGTTTTGAAATGTGCCAATTTTATTATTATTATTATAATTTTAGACTAATGAAATAAATCCATAGACTAAAAATAATAAAATGTTCATAATTTAAGAAATAAATTACCAATTCTTTTACTTATTACGGTCGCATTTGACCCTAAATACGTTTTAGGATAAAAAGGATAGAAATTAGAATGAAGGGAAGTCGTTTAGAAACGAAGAATATAAAATCATGGGTTGATAGGTAGGACAGGCTATTGAATGAACTTGAGCACAAGACCAGCATGTTCGCAAAGTAAGTTTCGTCCGTCCGTTTGTCCTCAGAGTTTATCGCACGTGTATTTCCTTAGTGTAACCGTCCGTGGAGTGCCTGTGTCGTTAAAATTGAGACCCCTTATCACTTCCCAACTAGCTGGCTTATTAATGATACGTACATCCACCCTTTTACAGCCTATGACCTTATTGGTCTTCTTAAAGAATACATTTTTTTATTACAAAACATGGGGCGAATGACCGCATATATTAATATGTTACACAAAAATGGCACCCAACAAACAAAGAAGGTTCAGATAGAGAGGCAATGTATTTTGTAGGTATTTATGTTCATTTAAAACTATTTTCGAATAAAAATATGTCGAAAGCTACAATTGTTGCGCAAAGCTGAGGGTGAAAAGAAAATCAACGGGGAAGGAAATGAGAAGGAATATTTAAACATGTAAGAGCATTTCTATGGTATTCTAAGATCACAGACTAAGGGTGAAATTTAAGGAAAAATTTATTGTAATAAAAAATAGGTCTGTGGCGTATTTAAAATTTCATCCGCCTGAGTGGCCGAGTAGGCAAGAGTCTCGACTAGCAACTCAATAGTCGTGGGTTCAAACCTCAAGTGCGGTAGAGTTTTTTAATAACAGCCGATAGCCCTAGATGCTAGTGCTTTAAGACTTTAGTCTTAGAATTTATTCTCTGGCTAAATTTATAATAATAATAATAATAAAATTTCGAAACACGAAATTTAATGTAGCAAACAGCATAGGTTCCACAATTTTTTACTTCTATATAATTTTTTATGAATACGCGTTTAATTTTTTCGGGACATAACTTAACATAACAACTGAAACGTATTTTATTAATGAAAGAACGAATCTTTTCTAGATGGACATTGAATTTTTCATTCGAATACTTACTGTTTGCGCATGTTAGAAACCACTTAACATAAATTTTTTTTGCTTTCATTCTTTTTTCAAAAAATTATCAATTCCCGATCGTTTATTTTTTGCATAAAATATAGTGCCACCTATACAAATCTCTAACAATACACATTGATTCATACATTATATTTTTTCTTTAAATTCAAATATGGGCTGTTTGCCGCAGAGATCTTTAAATTGATAGTGTGCCGCGGGCATAGGTATAGTGTTGCCCCTTGTTAAATTCTTCACAAGTTTTTTTTTAAGTATTTAAATACACTTCCTTGAGAAATATTGTAAAGAATTTTAATCTCCCCGTTCGCAAACTCTTTACTATAATAAGTAACACATATTAGATACATTATACGCCCAATAACTTGCACGAATATTATTATTCTGTTACTTTTTCTCCATCCAAAAGAATGGTCAAAAAACCTGTTTGTTTCGATTGTTACACGGGTGTTGTTATTGTTATTGTGTGAGCAATATTTGCCGCTACCTAAAATATCTATTATGCCGGCTTATGCTCCTTGCCCCCCAGCTTTAGAGTCGTTATGAATCTCACCAACCTTGTTTGATTCGGATCACCGCGCAGTGTCTAGCGTAGCTAAACACTGGATGCCTGATTCTGCAGATCGCTTCACATTCAGATAGGATATGATAACACGTTCCGTTCATCACGTGATAGGATTTCTATAATAAGCATATTTTTCATTTGATGTCTGAACGAGTTAAGACCGGAGCCGGGGACCGACTGTAGCTTTGTTCTTGCTGGTTTTAGTAGCCTATGTGCTGTACCTGAAGATTTTACAAACCAATTTGCTAGCCCTTCTCCTGCGCTTTGTTCTTAATTATAATCGGATTTTTCTGCGCCTATTGCGATACCAATCTTCTTCTTGGTACGCCACAGAAATGTTCCTCGCGCTCCCCTGTTAGCTAAACAATCAGTCCTTTGATCCCCTGCAATACGCGAATGGCCAAGTGTCCATATTAAGTGCACGTCATTATGCTTTCCAGCTCATTCAAGTTTTGGCGCCACTCCAACACGACCCTTCATGTTATTTTTTGTCTCTTCAAGACCGCTCTGGTATAAGAGTTTGACGGTCTCGACTCGGTCTCGCCCGTTTGGTTACTCCAAACCGTTGAGACACTATTAGCTTTGCGACGCAGTGTTCGTTCATGGAATTTTCAGCACTTTTAAGCGGCTCTTCAAATTTCCCGATTTTAATTTGACAGCCTAGATTCGCTTAGGTAGGTTCCTCCTTCTATGAATGTAGATGGTAGTGTTACACCAAGCAGGTCATTTAAGATTTCAAAGTACAAGGTCTCATCGCAATGGTCGTGCCGATGCAAGCGGGAGGATGCATTTTTTTTAACGTTGTCGTCGCCTTGGTCCACCAAGCCAGAGCTAGTTAGGCCAGCATAGAGAGAATTACAGCAGTGTAAAACAAGTAAATTATTTTTGGGCTTATACCCCACGTTATACCTAATAGGGTTTGATAGACAAAAAGAGCTCTCGTCGCTTTGCCGGTTTACTCCTTCGTATGAGAGCTTCATATTAACATTTCGTCGAATTTCAAGCCTAGGCATTTCATCTCATTTGGTTAGCTGAGTACAACGACATTTATGCAGACACTGTTCCACGTTACTTCTCTCTTGCTCGAAAAAGGAACCAGGACAGTTTTTCATGGATTGATGTGTAATGCTTCATCGTGCCACGATTTGTGGGCTAATATTACAGTTTAAATGCTTGTTAAAGTAGGTCCTTTGTTTTGTCTGCCGAGGTGATTTAATGAGTGGCCGGGCTCTCGGTTGGATATGTAAAATTAATTTGCTACTAGTTGGGCTTTCAATAATATCATTTTTGGTTTGTAGTACCGGTGGGACATTTTTTTCATATGGCTGAGCTTTGGCAGCTAGAACCTTGAGCGAGCATTTAGGTTGTCTAGACGGCTTGGCGGTGTGCGTTGCGTCAACACCATAGGGTAGAGATCGCCAGGCTAGCCTTAGCCTTCATTGATGTTTTCCTGTGGATTCGTTTGGTTGGCGGATGTCTTTTTGGGAGAATTTCTTTGCGTGGAAATTAGTATTGCTTGTTTTCTCTTCTTATCTTAGATCGTGAGACTTTCTCGGACTTTAACTCCAGCTTCATCAACTTTTCGGGGGTCGTTCATTGAGACCTGAAGATAGAGAATTTAGGTAAGATTTTTCACTTAAGTTTTTTTAGTTTTGAAATACTCATCCATGATATTATCACGCGGAGACGCTATATCGAACTTCACAAATTTTGAGTTTTTTGATGTTGATACAATATGCCTAATTAATGTCAAATGAGGCAACTGGAATCTCGCAACAAGGTGCACATATTCTTTCTTAATAGTGTCTATATCAGAAAAGAGAGTTTGGAAAGTATATCGGAAGTTGTAATAGATTAAAATGTACGCAATATATAATGTATAAAAATTAAAAATAATGTATAAAAAATAATGAATAAGAAATTTTTTAAAATACATAAAAGCTTGAGGCGGTTCGAAAGAATTCACTTCATACACATTAAAATTTTAAGTGCCGTAAGCGTTCATGTATAGTCACATAAAAGTGGCTATGAGAGAATATATCTTCGATCTCTTACTTGTCAAAATTTGTTGTTTTCACTTTGTTAGTTGAAGTAATATTGACGTTATTTAAAATGATCGTTGCGTATGGAAGATTTCCTGAAAATATTAATTCACTAGATAAGCAATCCATTTAGCTATACTCATCGTCTGTTTGGACACCTGATCATTCGGAGGTAGGAGGATTGGTTGCAGAGCAATGTTCAAATGCGGTTTTCAAGGTTTCACATGATGTGACTAGACCGACAATAGTAATGATTGCTTTAAAAGCTTTCAAGAAGGTTAATTCGAAAACTACATCTTCCGATGAATTTGGCGTTACTAAAAATATAATAGGTTCAAATAACTTTCCTGTTGGTAATTTAAGCGATTTCCTGAATTGCTGACTGATGACACAGCCGGTGGTGCCTATGTCGATTGTGGCGGTAGCTTTTCCGTCCTATAACGATGGTGATCAGGAGTTTATAATCCCTGCAAGTCTGCTAACCATTAGATGAAGAAGTTAGATTCTTAGAACCCTATTCCTTCAATTGGGTTCCGTCTGAGTTTTCCGATAGTTGACAATGAGTCCGTTCTCGCGCAGGTAGTTTTATTCCATGTCCTCCAGATTTTCTGTCATTTTCTCTAAGAGTATCCTGGCGTTGATGATTATGCTTAGAGTATAATTTCAAGTGTTTATCATTTGATGTTATTCACGGCAATATCTAGATAATCTTACTGTTGGTGTATTCTGCAGGTCTTCTGCGAGCTCGAAAAAACCTGCAAGCGTGTAAAACTCTCGTCCTCTAATATACTACATATAGTCATAGATTGCATGGTGCTCGGTAATCCTCTCCGGTTAATTCCATGTGACTAAATTAGTTATTCCACTCTCTCAATAAACGTGGAGGAATCTTGTCCTCCATCGTATTTGATATTCTATCTGCGGACTATTACTATGATGGTGCCGTTTCTCATCAATTGATATGGTAGTTTCTGAAGGACTTCTTACTTGTAAAGTTAGCGCTGATTTCGTAGTCGTACTTCCATTTGCCCCAGCTGCAATATTTGGAAATGTTGGTGGTTCGTGCTTAACTATAACCAGGAGTTAATCAATTTCTTCAGCTTAATGTTCGATATTTATGAATTGGGCAAGTCGCTTTCTCAAATCGTCTACATTAAACGTAATTTTTCTGGTTATATTCAGTAAAATATGTGCTTAAATCTTCTTTGCGGAGATCGAAAGAAAATAAAAGATGAATAATTAAATATATTTCCTTTACCTTTTAATAAATGCCTGGAGAAAATGTTCTTCAACGTATCTAACCAGAAGCGCCCCCTTTTCGTAAAGGAACTTATTAACAGATATAGTTACAAAATTGTCAACAGTATAACCCTCAATTGTAGAATTTCTATTTTAGACAAAATTGAAATCAACCGAAAAGGGAATATACTTATCGGGAAAAAGGTAAAAAAAAAAAACACATTCGAATTTTTCTTTAATTTTCAAGAGAAAACACATTGATGTATTTCTATGTCATCAAGCAAAATCGCTCGTTGAGTTCTAGAAATTCACTGCGTACAATAATATATTACTCAAAACGTAAATAATACCTCTCGTTACATTACAAAACATGAACATCCATGAAACAACTATTTCTCTAAAGGAATTTGCCACGTGAGAATTGTATGGTACCCGTACATAGTGGAGTATCACACTTCAATTTGTTTGAAAATATAGGCTAGTGACCAAGGTCATTTTTTCGTACCATAAACGGCAAAAGATGAAATCATCATCTAAGTTTTTCCGCCTGCAAACATTACTCAAATGAGCCATTACTATGCTGACGTCTTTAATTGCTATTTACATAAGATCCCACACTGCAAACAGTATCAGCCATTTCATGGCGGAACTGACCAAATTTCGGTAGTTGTTTGTTTGGTATGTCCTTTGCAATGGAATATTTTTCGTAAGTACCCACCAATTTATTACAGTAATATGCAATGGGTAACAGAAATTTGTAGGGTCAATTTTGCGTACTGATGCATTTGTGCATCGCAAAGGAAATGCGTTTTTCTTGTTTAAATTTCATACTATATGCAAAAGTTTAAATATAATCGCTAGTCTTACCTTGTTTTTATTCGACAACAATTTCATCGAAATGACATTGTACTCAAATAGAGCCCCAATAATGAAAATTGTATCAGATAAACAAATAAACTGTCAACGATTCGAGTTGTGTTCGCAAACGATAAAATAGGTTTGGTAAAACTTAAATCAAAAGAAAAAAAAAACGCTATGCAAAGTTGTTACATAAAGAGATATGACGCATTTCATTCACAATTGACACAACACATCATCTCCGCAGCTGGATAATTTTTGTGTTTACCGGTGTTAGTGAAAAAAAAAAAAAAAAGAAAGAATTTAAACATTTGAAAAAAGGAAAAGAGGTTTAATAAAGTAATAAAATAACCAAAGAAAACAATTTTAAGAAGGAAAAGGAAGGAAGGAGGAGGAATCTCTCGTGAGAGAAAAATTAAGAAGCAATACATATTTTCAATTATTATTTTTGGTTTTTTCTTGGTGATTTTTTCTTTTTGTGTTCCCTGTGACAACAACCAAAACAACATCAGCCCGTCTCTCTATGGAGACTGGGTCTGATCTTATAACTACTAATAGAGACAATTTTGAAAATTTTTACATGAACGCCACTGGGCAAACCAAGAGATCGAAAATGGGTGAGAATAATATTCCTTTATCTAATAACGGGGAAGCTAACGCAAACGTTTTAATTCCGCCTAGTAAGCAGGCTACCGACAAGCCCTCTGATTTGGGTGCCACAGCCGCCCCAAATCTCGAGATTAATTTGTACGATTGCCTTTCAACCTGCAATTTTGTCGTTTTTGTCGAAACGTGCGCGGACGCAGAAGGAAATCGCATCAATATTAATTCCAATCTCTATTTCTATGATTACTTGAAGGATTTTGGTATGTATGGCTTGAAAGAATTAAAAGTTGTCAGCAGGGGTAGAGCCAAACTGCTTTTCAGCTCTGCTGCCAATGCCAACAATTTTGTTACGAAAAATGAATAATAAAAATAATTTAAAAGCGTACATACCGAGGTCGTTCACTGAGAGATTTGGAGTTATTCGAAACATCCCATGCACATATAGTGTCGATGATATAATTAATAACGCCGTATCCGATATCCCGATTAAGTCCGCTGTCCGTTTCCAAAGAAGAAATCCCAACAACAAAGACGAGTGGATTCCCACAACCAGCATCAAAGTTGGCTTCAAAGGGAGAGCCCTCCCTAAGGCTATAAAATTTAATTATTGTAATCTGCCGGTAGAATACTTTGTACCCACTTTAAAGCAGTGCTTTAAATGTGGCAGATACGGTCACGTATCTAAATTCTGCAAAGCTAAAGAGAGCAGGTGCCTTAACTGTGGAAAGTCGCCGAAGTGTGTAAATTGTGAGGCGATGAAGTACCTGTCCTGTGGATCAGGTGAGCACAACGCTCTCAACAAGTGTTGCCCTAATAGGGAAAGTGAATTAAATATCAACAGGATAATGGCGATTAAAAATCTTTCGTACAAAGAGGTGAAAGAGAAATTTTCCGAAAATTATTTCGAATGTCTCGATGATATCACTTATGACGGCAACTTCCCTCCACTGGGGAACACGTCTGCAATTTCGACCAAGGATGATAATCAAAATGCCAACAAAATCTTAACCAAAAATAAATACAATGCTGTCGTCAAAAGGAAATTGGTTCCTTCCAAATCTCTTATCAATTCACCCACCAAGCCTCCTCCCAATACACCCCCCAAGCCGTCCGGAACAAGCCTTCTTGGACCGAAAATTTCAAACAACTATTTGCGGTCTGCAGAACTTGAAAGATTAATTCACGCGATTCAAGAAAGTATCCGTCCGATGATCCCTCACAATCTTATTAAAGAATTTGAAGAAAAAATGTCTGTCTGTGCTATTTCTTGCCCCGTTCGAGCATCCAGTACTGCGAGGAAATCCGCTGGGGTTCTTTCTCAAGCTTCAACATGATATCCTTTTAACAATATAATATTCAAAGTGTCCGACGTAACCTATCTTTTCTAGATTTTTACTTAAACTCAAACAAGATTGATTTTTGTATCTTAAGTGAAGTTTTTCTGAAAGATGAAAATTGTTTCGAAGTTAAAGTTTCGAATTATGCCTCAGCCACCAAATGCCGAAATGATGGCTATGGTGGTGTTAGTATATTAGTTAAGAAAAGTGTCAATTTCAGACGTATTCCCTATAACTCTGCCGTTGACATCATCAAAACCATCAACCTGAAACCGAATCTTTTCATAGCCTCATGCTACTTTCCACCTAGTCTCGATGTGCAAACCTTTCGTGATGAGATTCAGAGATTATGCGACTTTCTTGACGGTGAACAAAATGTGATTCTAACTGGAGATTTCAATGCAAGACACCGCCTGTATGGCGATCAAGTCTCTACCAACAAAGGCAAAATCCTTGTAAATGCCATCAATTCCAGCAGTTTCAGTGTCTTAAATAACGGCAATACTACCTTTCACTGTAACCGGAGCGGTCGCACGGCGAGCAGTGTCTTGGATCTAACTTTCTCGAACTCAACCATTTTATCTTTCAACTGGAACACGTCCAATGTTTCCATTGGCAAAAGTCAACACTCCCCCATTATATTCCACAGTTGTAACAATTCCGTCAAGAAAATAGAAAATTTCATTTCACGCAACTTCCTTATGGACCGTCTGTCTAAAGTTGATCTTCCTTCTGATTTATCATCAATTCAAAGTACCTTTCAATCTGTGATCATGTCTGCTAGAACCAACTTCCCTGACATTGAGTCCTTGTCACCTAAACCTTGGTGGAATCCTTCCCTGTCAACACTTTTCCGCAAATACCAAGCTGCAAGAAAAAAAATGAGTAAATATGCCAATCCAGCCAACTACATTGAATATATGAATATACTGAAAGAATGGAGGTCTGCAGTTAGAAAGGCGAAAAGGGCACATAGAGCCATCGCTATTTAAGAGTTATGTGGTAACGGCAACCCACGTTCCTTCTGGAATTATATCAATGGTCATCGATATTCTAGTCGAAAATTAAGCGATTGTGCTGTATAGAATAACCATGATAATAAAAAATACTTGGATATGCTTAAGAGCTACATTCCACGTGTCAATCCGATTACAATACCTTCAATTCCTTTTAGTAGTCTCAGCAACACACCCTTTTCATTGCATGAGCTAATGTATGTTTTACATTCCAGAAAGAGAGCTACTGCTGCAGGTTGTGATGGAGTCAAGTATGACATGCTCACAGCACTGTCTGGAGGAAGCTTTAGCATGCTTTTGCATGCAATTAACAACTGCTGGTCCACCAACTTTATACCCTCTGATTTGCGTTGCATCAAAACAGTTCCCATTCCCAAGCCAGGTAAAGACTTAAATGATTTAAGGAGCTTCAGACCAATTTCACTAATATCTGTATTCATAAAGACCATCAAACTCATGGTTAAGGAGAGACTAACTGCTTTCCTGAAAACTAAGAACATTATTCCAGCTCGGTCTTACGTCTATCAAAAACGCAAATCTACGAATATGTGCGTTAATGAATTGTGTTTTCTCATAGCCAGTTTAAAAAAAGCAGGGAAAAAGGTTGTCATGCTCTCCCTGGACATTAGCAAAGCCTATGACTGTGTCAACTTGATTAAGCTTGGTAGAATTCTCCTAAACTTTTCGATTCCTCTTCAAATGCGGCTGTGGATATTTAATTTTTTGTCCAAGCGTTTGTTGGTGATGGGTACCGAAAAAGTTGAAATATGCGGTGGTATCCCACAAGGCAGTTGTTTAAGCCCCATACTCTTCAATTTATACGCAGCTTCTTTGCATGATCTTCAAGATGACAAAACTCACATTTTTCAATATGCAGACGATTTTCTAATCGTATCCGCGGACTCATCTTTTCCAGCAGCTGTCAATAACCTCTCGATGAAAGCGAACTTGTTTTTCGATGCATTCGCTGTTCTTAATTTATTTTTTAGCCCCAGCAAGACAAACACTATTTATTTTGCCAAAGGTTCTAAACGTGAAATCAGACTTCTTATCAAAGGTACCCTAGTTAATCAGGTAAAATCTCTTCGA